GCAGCCACACAGAGGCGTCAACTTTCAAGTCCCCTCTGGCTTCAAATATCTTGAAAGGGGCATGGGTCCCTGACACCCAGCAGGGCTTTGGGATCCAAACACCACACACCAAACCTCTGTGCTCTCCAGTCCTGTCCCAATTCCAGTCTGGGGTGACTTTCCCTCCCACTTTCCCATTTTTTTTGGACCAGAACAAACTCATACACCTGCAAACACAGTTTGGAAGCCTGGGGCCAGTGGCTGCTCCCTCAAAGCTGAGCACAGGCCACATGTGAGCGCATGCTACATGCCCCGTGCAGCCTGCAGTGGTTTCCCTGCAAATCCTTCAAGTGCCTCAGCAATCACCCCATAAATCCGGTGAGGATCTCTGAGGAGCCCAAGGAGCCTGTGTTCACCCAGATGCTCCATCATGAAGAAGACCAAAACCAAGTTGTCCTCAGCAGATTCTGCCCATAGAGTGAAACTTGGTCAGAGAACTGGAAGATACCAATTATAGTGGTGGTGTATACATGTGGGATCAAGGTCTCTTGAAGAATGGCTTTTGGAGGGTAAAGAACTGGAAAACCGGGATTTCGGCCTCTGGCATTTGACCACACATGCCAAGTGCTGAGAGTTCCTGCTGTTCAGGTTAGTGGAATGGACTCGGAGCACAGAACTGCCTCTACCAGGAGCTGATGCATGTCCCTCCGTGTCAGCCCGTTGATGCTTGTGGCCAAAGCGTGTACTTACCCAGTGGGAGAGGGTCTGCCCGGCAGACATGTCCAGTTAGCATGGGCATCTCACTGCCTCTGTCAGCAGGCAGGCTCTTATGGCCCTGGTGAGCCTGAGGAATGACTGACTGCGGGTGTCACTGTGTCCAGGCTCACCACCACCACCCCTACCAGTCCCCTTTACCAACGCACCACTGTGTCTGTGCACCGGGCACCAGGGCACAGATCAAGGGCAACACAGGGCCAGGGAAATCTGTAATCTGAACCTCTGTTCCCCGAGAGATGGCCATCATCTCTCAAGTCACATTGTCTGTGACAGGTACATCACCTCCAAGTCACCCTAGGGAGCAGGTGCTGTTATCAACCCATGTCACAGACAAGGCTTTCCTCATGCAGAAAAGCATACCTACCTCTCAACACACCTGGGATGACCATTTAAAAAGAAACACAGAACCAAAAAAAAGTGTTTGTGAGTATACTGGGCGGGGGGGTGCCAAAAAAATGTATACACGTTTTAAAAGGTTTTCGCTGTAATCAGAAGTATCTGCACACTGATGGCAACCACTTTGAGTCCTCTTGTCATTGCAGAAGTCAGACATGACTTGTATTCATTGTATTGAATATTATAATTTTAATACAGCTTTTTCCTTTCTTAAGATGTGTATGCATTTTTGGCACCCTTGTATATATTTACACACACAAACACAACAGATATATGTATGCATATACACATATAGGTGCATGTATCTCAAATAATATACTGTTTTAACCCAGCAGATTACATCTTTGACTGAAAACAAAGCCCTGTGTGTTCTCACTGCAGGTTTGCTGGGATTCAACACCATTACCTTTGCTTATACTTACAGGAATGGTAGAAAATACTAAAGTCTTTCTTTAATTCAAAAGTGAAGGAAAAGGAGTACAGAGAAGAAAAAAAAAGCTTCCACTATATTGTCAAGGGTTGTTAGACAAATGGCTTCTGTTAATTCAGCTGTGCTTATTTATAAAGGCAGTCCTAACTTTCATATCCACTTATTTAATAACTGAGGCTTAATCCTTTTTAGCTTACATATGAAATTTTTGAGTACTCAAAGTAACAGACTGAATGTCTTAAGTCAGCAATTAAAACAAACCTGTACAAATACAGGAAAATGTTAACTGTAAAATCTAAGAGGTGTTGGGTTTTCACTAAAAAAAAACTTTCCCATTTTTCTGCATATTTGAAGCTTCTCATAATCAATTGCTGGATACAGGAGGAGAGTCACATCACACGCAATAATGCCATCACACCTCGTCTTCCTGTAGAACTTTCACAAAGTCACTACTGGGAAAATACACGAGCTCCTTTTCACCAAATAAGATTTAGAAACTAGACAAAAAAATAAAAAGGAATCTCTTATAACCTCACTTATCCAGCTATAAAAACTTTCAGTATATTGGCATATGTCTTTTCAATTCTTTTGTGTTTCCGTATATCTAATTTATTAACAGTAACATTTTTTAATTGTATGTAACTTGCTTAATGGCTGTATGGTATTCCATTATTTAAGTTATAGAAAATTACTATACCTAAAAACGCTTTCTGAAAATACAGATTCTTGGGATTCACCTACTAAATAAGAATCTTGGGAGGATTCCAAGGAGTCTGAATGCTTGACACCTATTCTGTGATTGCAATGCATTTAATCTAATGAATTAGCACACACCTAACTTGTTAGACCCACTATTGCCAAATATAGAGTTTCTAAACTTTTGCAATTATAAACAGCAATCTCCCACATCCTTACAGGTCTCTGCATACAGTTATTTTCTGAGGATAACCAAGTGGCTTGTTTGCTTTTTAAAAAAAGATTTCGTGACCAGAGAACTGGGGAGCAGCTGCAGCTCGAGGACTACCCACCTCACCACCCTCAGGGACTTCCAGGGAGGACTGGCAGTTGCCCACAGCAGCCCTGGTCAGCTGGGAATTAGGGTCCGAACCCAAGGAAAAAGCTCTCCAAGGCAGAGGCCTGCCTCTTTCCTTATTTCCATAACCACAAAGGCCCTGCTTAAAAGGGCCTCCTTGAGTACATATCGCTGATAGTGGCAACATCCTCTGCTGTTTCATGCCATTTTAAAGCTCACGCTTGTCAAGAAAGCTATTGTACACCAGGGTGACTACAGTTAATAACAACATATTGCAGCCGGGCACGGTGGCTCACGCTTATAATCCTAGCACTTTGGGAGGCCGAGGTGAGAGGACTGCCTGAGCCCACAAGTTCGGGACCAGCCTGGGCAACTTGGCAAGATCTTATCCCTACAATAAATCAAAAAATTAGCTGGGCATGCTGGCACGTGCCTGTAGTTCCAGCTACTTGGAAGACTGAGGCGGGAGGATCGCCGGAGCCCAGCAGATCGAGGCTGCGGTGGCCGGGAACGTGTCACTACCCTCCAGCGTGGGTGACAAAGTGAGACTCCAACTCAAACAAAAAACAAAAGCCATATCATATACTTGAATATCACTGAACACAGATTTTTTTCTTTTCTTTTCAGAGACAGGCAGGTTCTCACTCTGTCGCCCATACTAGAGTGCAATGGCAGGACCATAGACAACTGCAGCCTTGAACTTCTGGGTTCAAACAACCCTCCAACCTCCCAAGTAGTTAAGATTATAGGAGTGAGCCCCCAGCCCAGTTCTGAAAGATTTTAAAAGTTCTCATCACACAAAAAAAGTAGGGTGTTAGCATACGCTAATTAGCTCATTTTGCCAATCCACAACATACATACATTCTGAAACATGTGCACCATAAATATGTATAACTGTTTATTTCATTTTTAAAAACAGGCCAGTGCAATGGCTCACACCTGTAATCCCAAAACTTTAGGAGGCCAAGGTGGCTGCTTGAGCCCAGGCATTCAAGACCAGCCTGGGCAACATGGCGAGACCCTGTCTCTATAAAAAAACTAGCCGGGTAGCCCCAGTTACTTGGGAGGCTAAGGTGGATCACCTGAACCCAGGTCAATGAGCCATGACAACACCACTGCACTCCAGCCTGGGTGACAGAGTGAGACGCCCAACTCAAAAAAATAAAGTTCACATTTGGTAGTTCACATATTATCAGTCCCTAAGAGCACTTTCTCTAACTCAGTTCCATATACTACTAACTATTCTCAGGCATCTGCATGTCAACACATTTCTGTTGAAATGCTGTGTTTCCATACTGATGGTAATCCACATATAAGACAAATGCATCCAGATTCATCCGGATGAGCTACTCAATTTCAAAGCCTTATGTGTTTAAAATCAAAATGGTTAAAAGGTCACCAACAAAGAAATGTTAAGCCAATATTTCTCAAAATCGAATCTTTGGACAGGGTTCTCTGAGAAATTAGTCTGTACAGTACTCAAAGCTCAGAACCCCTGACGTGGAGTACAAGAACCACACGCTTTTCTCTCCCACCCAGCACCCGGCCCAAGTCAAACCCTCGGCAGAAACTGGCGTCCCCCACGTCGGCACAGCACCTGGCCTTTCTGCCAGTTGGACTTTCCCCCCATAGTAACGAGAATATTTTTTTTTTCCCCTTTATCTTGCTAGCGAAAACGAATATTCTGAGCCTCAAGAAAGCCTTCTAAGGCCGTCAAGGCCGACTCCACTCAAGACAGTGGGGAAAAGAAAGGCCCAGAGACAGGAAGTGCCTTCAGCGAGGTCGCACGGCTAGTTGGCAGCAGAGCCAGAGCCAGGCCCCTCTCCCAACTTCGGGCCTGTGCCCCCCAGCGGAAGCGCCTCGACTGATCTGCAGGAACACTGACCACCGCCCCCACGGACCTCCTTCCCACTGCGGCACCGCCGGCCAGGCCCATCTCCGTCCTGCCTGGTCCCCAGCCTCGCCGGTGGCCTCCCGCCAAGCCGGCTCCGCTCGCTCTACTCTGGACCTTCACAAGCACAGCACCCGCCTCCATCCCAGTCCTACTGCTTGGTCCACAAAAGACACGAGCCGAAAAAGCCCAGCGGCCAGGCCACCCCGGCACCCTACGGCGGCACCAGCGCCCCTCGCGCCCGCGGAGTCCCCTCCCAGGCGCATGCGCCACCCGAGACCGGCGCGCCTCGGTGACGTCACGGCGGCGCCGTCTCGGCGCTGCGGGCGCCTGCGGCCCCAGCCGGAGGGAGGCGCGTGCGTGCGGCGACGGCGCGTGTCCCGCGGCCTCGGGCACCAGACCCTTTCCACCAGAAGCTTTAACAGGAAAGGCCAGGAGGCCGAGGGCTGCTGAGCAAAGTGGGGAAAGGAACGAGTGGGCGCCGGCGGGGTACGTCATCACAGCGCACCGGAAGCGGCCCGAGGATGAAGAGTAAGCGGGGCCACGATGGCGGAGCGGGTCGGGGATGTCGAAGGTCGAGCAGGGGCCTGTGGTGACACGAGTCCGCCCCGCCTGTCGCTGTGGCGTCCGAACAGCGCTGCTCCGGACTGTCCCACTTTCCATAAGACAAACTGAGGGCTCGAGCGCGAGTTAACCTGGTTCGGCCGCTCACAAGGCTCGGCTGGGCACCGGCGTCAGCGTCTCCCGGGGCCCGCTCCGCGGTTTCTGGTGTTAAGAGATGGAGGACTCGAGGCCTTGGCCCGAGCCGGCCACCACGAGTGACCGCGGCCAAGGCCCTGCCTCTCGCTGGCACCTTGCTGCCCACCTTGTCTTCTGTAAAGCGCCGAGAGCTGCGGGAGAATAGCACCCAAAGCTTTGGGGCTTGAGGGAGGCGAGACGTGCCGAGGAAGGGAGCGAGCAGCGGGGCGGTTTTCGGCCGGAGTGTGGACACCGTTAAGACCGGATCTCCGACCGGGAATTGGATTTCCACCTCTGCCACTCCCTAGCTAAAAGATCAAGTGAAGTGTCTCATCCTCTCTGAGCTCGATTTTCTCATGTGTAGACGTGTAAAGAGATGGAATGTGTATAGTTTGTAATCGGATTCCTGGCAAGAAATGAGCGCTCAGGGACTGCCAAGTCAGGTGTTAGGTACCTGTAACAAGTGAAGCCGAGTCATTCCTGGAGCTCCAGGCCCTACAGATTGTTCTACAAACAGGTTATAACCTTCATCTTACATTTGGGGGAGACCCAAACTGTATAAAAACTCGTAACCACCTTGGTTTGCTTGATCAAGCATCCTCAGGGGAGCACAAGAAAGCTAGGATGAATTTTTTTTTTTTTTTTTTTTTTTTGAGTTGGAGTCTCACTCTGTTGCCCAGGCTGGAGCCCAGTGGCATGCTCCCCACCACCGCAGCATCAACCTGCTGGGTTCAGGGAATCCTTCTCCCTCAGCCTTCCAAGTAACTGGAACTACAGGTGCCACGCCACCACACCCGGCTAATTTTTTTGATTTATTGTAGAGTCAAGGTCTCACCAAGTGGCCCAGGCTGGTCTCAAACCCCTGGACTCAGGCAGTCCTCTCACCTCGGCCTCCCAAAGTACTGGGATTACAGGTTTGAGCCACCATGCCCGGCTGAAATTTATACTGTAACATGAACCGAATTTTCTAGCCATTTGGCCCTCAAACTAGGCCTGTGTATGATTCTTATTCCATTCACACCTGTGCTGTGTCCCCCATGCCATGGTTTTCTTCTTCAGATAAGTGAAGAAACTGGAATGTGGAATTTTTCAGAGGTTGCAACCACATTAATCAATATATATTTTGAATTTGAAGAAAGACCCTTGTATTTTATCAATTCAGGACATCATCAATTATATGATATATTCCAGTTTCATAGATGTTAAAATGTGAAAAATCTTTTTTAAACATCTTACAGTCAACAAAATGTATCTCCATCCATCTGCATACGGACAGCTATATCATATAACTTAAATGAGTTACTTTGTTGCTCAAACTTCTAACCTGTGATACTTTAAACCAGTGTAATTCAAAGTGTGATCCTGTGACAACATCTAGGATCTTATTGGAAGTGCAGGATCTAGGGGTGGCAACCAAGAATCTACATTTTAATAAAAGCCCAGAGACTTTTACACACATTAAATTTTGAGAAGCATGCTTTTTGAACCACCCCCTGGAACTCCTAGGGTAGGTGTGGCCAGAGGACAGGCTTAGAGGCATCTAGAACAGCATGGAAGCTTTGTTCTTTATACCAACTTCATCTTCGAACTCTGAATAAGCAGTTATTTTCATAGTTAGAAAAATTGTGGGTCTTATAGCCATACCAACAAAAATTGATCATTTCTTCTTTTTTTTAATCCTCCAGGTGTGATCTACCATGCTTTTTCTCAGAAAGAGGCAGACGAGCTCGATGTTCAGGTACAGTTCTTGGCAGGAGGTCTGGGAGCAGCAGAGGTGATGGCAAAGATGACTCTTGGGCTTCTGGTCCTCTTGTACGGGTTCAGGTGTTTCCTCCCACATCTCTGTCTACGCTTTAGGCTCTGTCAGGGTCTGTTCCGATGGCCTGTTCCCAGATGCTGGCCTCCTTTCCTGTTGTGCCGGAGTCAGGTTTGGGAAGAATTCTTGTCTTGCATCCTCCCCCACTGTGGGAGGTTCTGAGCACCTCACTGGAAATTGTCCCTTGCCCCCTTCACTTCTGAAGAAGGCATGCAAATCACATTTCCTAAGTGGAGTTCACAGATTATATCTGGATGCCTCAGCCTGCTCTGTCAACTTGACAAAAGCTCCTCTGGTGACTATTACGTCATGAGAGCATTACCTTGAAACCCAAATTTTGAAAGACTGTGTACCTTTATTTTGTTTCTCTGTGGAAGAGAAGCTACTTAGGCATTTAAAGGAATCAGATAACTGTCCTCTTACAGTAACAATGATGGTAATGGATTAATGTTAGTTAGCACCTAGAGGCACAAAGCTGAAGCAGACACAGTTCCTGCTATCCTCACTGTGAACTGCCTCAAAGATTATATATATCGTCTCTTTTCATTCCATTTCTCTCCCATGAAGCTGACAGGTTAAACTGACAGGCTAGCATCAGTCTGTCAGTTAGCTTCAGTCGTAGTGTTTACAGCCCGGTTGATACAGAAAGAGCTCGGGAAGCCACCCGGCCAAGCGGCAGGACCTTGGTAGGCAGGGCTTCCTAGGACGTGGCAGACGGTGGGCAGGGGCACCCCCCCAGAGTGAGAAACAAGCAGTTGGAATTCCATCGTGAGAGGTGCCGATGCTGGGAGCTTCTTCAAGAATTGTCCCCAGCTGTGCGTTATTTTGCCTGGAACTCTCTGAAGCCTGTACTCGTTCATGACCGCTTGCTGCTGCTGTTACTCGTTGGAGAGAGTGAGCCCAGGGCCTGAGGTGCCCTGGACAGACCCTTCTCTACGTGTTGCGGGAGCAGGCCTCTCGGGGTAGCCGTACTGGGCCCACGGGGCTGGAACTCCGGTGAAGAAGACGGTCCTGTGGGCGTGCTGTCGAGATTCCTGCCCCTGGGCCGTGGTCCACCGGGAGCTCCCCGTGCTGCCCAGGTTCCCTGGCGCGGGGTTGGCGTCGTTGCCCTCCACAGCCAGAGCTTGGCTCTGCTCCGCACTTCCCTCCGTCTGGTCACACATTTCTCGAGTTTTCAATTCTGCCAAGGAAGAGAGAAGTCTTCTTCCAGACATAAAGATGTTTGATCCCCTCAGGAAAACCTCAGAAAAGCAGGACAGGAAGTCAGTGTTTGACATGGCTGTTTTGCGTGACAAACTCTCAGAGTAGCACATGCGTGTGACTTTCCTGGCCTGACAGCCATGGGTGGGAAACACTTGGCAGGCGAGAGTCTGTGTGAGCCTCCGTGGGTAGCCAGATGCGTGAGTGAGGGTAGCCCTATCTGCTGTGGCGGCGGCTCCCGGGAGTGGCGGTTGGGCTGCCGAGGCCAGAGCAGTGAGTGCCACACCTCCCTGTCCTCGTGCAGCATTCGGGAGTCCAGCAGGCCGAGGCCTTCGTGCGGGCCTTCCTGAGGCGCAGTATGCCCCACATGAGCCGGCAAGCCCGGGAGGACCAGCTGCAGCGCAAAGCTGTCGTTCTGGAGTACTTTACTCGCCGGAAGCGCAAGGAGAAGAAAAGGAAATCCAGAGGCCTCTCCGCCAGGCAGAGACGGGAGCTGCGGCTCTTTGACATTAAACCAGAGCAGCAGAGGTGAGCCAAGCCTTTGCCGTGTCTTCCTACCCGCAGTGACTGGATCTTCCTGTTCGGGTGTGGACGGACCGTAGGAGTGGTGGCCGGCTAGGCAGCCCCTGCTTCTCAGAAGCTAAGCGTGCCTGTCCGTCGTCTGCCACAAGGGGGCAGCCTTCCTTTACCGATTTCTTGGGCTGTGCTTGGGGTTGGCTCTTGGTGGCAGAGCCTGGTGAGACTGAGGGCTCTCACTGTTTGGCTTCTGTCCTAGCCTCCACCCGTAAGACTCTGTCCTAGCCTTCACGCGGAAGCCCGGCGCCGTCACCTGTTGTCCGGGCAGCAGGCTGTTTGCCTTTAGGCTTTGTCAGACAGAAAAGAGGAACTGAAATTTTTTAATACGTATCTCTTTGTAGCTTTTAATAGCAGGGGACAAAATCGCCCACTCAGATTTCCTGCTAAAGAAAGATGCTGCGTACACATTTCAGAAGTTTCTGAAAGGAAGGCATCACTGTCTTGTGGGAGGACATCTTCCTGCCCCCAGCTGACACCGCATCCTGTCTTGGCGAAGGTTCTAAGTTTGCATGTCTTGGGACTGTAGGCTTTTGCTTAGAGGTCTATGGGCAGACAGCCTCCCATGTTCTGGGAGACAATTAAAATAGATCCCTCTGTCCATGGCCCCACTCACAAAACCAGCTGGGCTTTGGGCGGAAGAGGGGCTGCCACCTGCCCTCGGCTTGCCTCCCTGGTGTCTCACAGTGACTGTGAGCTTGAGCTCGAGATTCCTGTTCCTCTAGCCTAAGACTTCATGTAAATGGGTCCCCACAGGGCCTCGAGACATGGGGTAATGGCCCTGAGGAAAGATTTGGGGTCCTCTCCTTGCTCCCCCATCTTCTCCACACCTGTTCACTCATCTTCCAGACAAACCTGTCACCTTACCCAAGGATCTGCAGTACAACCAGCGACTCCAGCTTTATTGAGGGCTTACTAAGTTCTATTTCATGCAGTAGAAAACTTCAAAACAGCAGTGGCTTAAACAAGCCTGAAGTTTGTTTCTCTCATAAAGTCCTGACATGCGCCCCCCAGGCTGGTGTGGCAAGCAGTCCCACTGCCCTCAGGGACCCAGGCCGCACACCCCACTTGGAGCTGTTTCTCCTGGTCTAAGATGCCTGCTTGAGCTCCAGCTGTCATGGCTGCCTCTAGCCTGTAGAAAGGATGAAGGGGCAAAGAAGGGCCACTACTTACTCTTCTCATTAGTAGAATCTCAGCCTCAGGAAGGATCTGTCAGTGAGGAAACAGGTTTAGGAGGTGACGGTCTTGATTTTAGTCAGTTACCAGCAGTGGAACTAGGATTTGCATGCAATCTCGAAGAATCCCAGGTTATAGTTCTGTGCATCAAGCCAAGCTCTGTGCCCTTTGGACATTACATGTTGCCTAATTCTTACCTGTTTCTGACTTTACCATAGATACAGTCTTTTTCTTCCTCTACATGAACTCTGGAAGCAGTACATCAGGGACCTGTGCAATGGTCTTAAGCCAGACACGTGAGTTGTTGAAGCTCTGCTCTTTGGGGAAGATTCCAAGTTTAGTAATTACTTTAAGAATCAGCTGTCGGGTTGGGAAGAGGGATAAAAAATAAAAATATTTTAAAAAACAAGTCTGCTATCTTGGGACCGGGCTTGGTGGCTTAGCCTGTAGTTCCACCACTTTGGGAGGTCAAGGCGAGTGGATTACCTGAGCCCATGGGTTCAAGACCAGCCCAGACAACTTGACAAGACCTCGTCTCTACAATGAATCAAAAATTCACATACTAGTAGTTCCGGCTACTTTGAAGCCTGAGGTAGAAGGATCGCCGGAGCCCAGCAAGGCAACGCTGGGGTAGCCATGAATGTGCTACTGTACTCCAGCCTGAGCGACAGAGTGAAAAAAAAAAAGAATCAGCTATCTTTCTTAGCTGGCTGCAGAAGGTTGTGGGCCTATTTGCTTCTTTCTTTTTTTTTTTTTTTTTTTTTTTTTTTTTGCCCCCCTAGCATTGACCTCCTGGGCTCCGGTGATCCTTCTGTCTCAGCCTTCTAAGTAGCCAGAACTACAGGTACATGCTACCACACCCAGCTCATTTTTGGTTTGTTATAGAGACGAGGTCTCGCCAAGTTGCCCAGGCTGGTCTCAAACCTGTGGGCTCAGGCATTCCACTCGCCTTGGCCTCCCAAAGGGCTAGAATCACAGGCCGAGCCACCAAGCCCGGCCCTGTTTGCTTCTTTCGGGACTCTTTACCATGGTATAAATTCAGGACTTCTGTTTACCTTGTAGGCAGCCACAGATGATTCAAGCCAAGCTGTTGAAGGCAGATCTTCACGGTGCTATTATTTCAGGTAATTTGCCTAAGAGCATATAGCACATGGTCATCCAGATGCTCAAACTGGTGCTCAGTGGCAGCCTCGTGCTGGTGTTCTTTTGGACATGTTCTTTGCCATGTGGATTCTTTGAAATATCCCCAGATCACCAGCACTGATGGTGGAGGGGATTCCAGCTGTCTCAGCCAGTTCTGGCCACTCAAGGGACACGCGCTCAGTGGTCTCTGTGTGCCCTCTCCACACAGGGGCCCCTGTTGGTTTCCCAAGGGCCACAGCGGCTGCTGGAACTCGCCTGTGTCCTGGAATCTTGAGCAGAGTCCCTTCCATCCAGTCCGGTGGTTTCAAATGTCAGCTATGACTGACAGCCCTCAAGCCATCATCTCCAGCATAGACTTTTCCCCTGAACTCCAAGCTCATTCATCTAGCTGTCCATTCGACATAGCCCCCCGGGTGTCCAGTAGGCACCTCACACATCACACATCCCTGGCAGAGCTCGGGCTGGCTTCTCACATCAGCCCTCCCCTGGCCTTCTCCATCACTGCCAGGGCCCCTGCTGCTTATCTGGTTATTCAAGCCGAAAACCCAGGAGGCGTCCGTGTTTCTTCGTCCCTGATCTTCCCCTTCAGGCCTCAGCATCTCCTACTGCCCAGACCTGGGCCATTGTCCTCTGCCCTGGATCACTTCAGAAACTACCTAACCTCTCTTGCTGACACACGGCTCCTCCCGCAGCCCAGCAGCCAGAGTGAAGGTTCTGTAACCAAAGTCAGATGACGTCCCTTCCCTGCTCGCAGCCTTCCTACAGCCACCTGTCTTCTTAAAGGGTTCCCTCCTTTCTTGATCAGAAAGGCCCCTCCAGCTTCCTGGGCAGCAGGTCTGACCACCGTGGCCCTTTGCGCTGCTCACATCCCGGCTTGGCCCTGCCTCGGGCCTTGGTATTGGCTGCTTCCGTCTGCCTGTGGAGTTACCCTGTGTGTTCCCAGACTGGCTTCTCGTGCTCGGGTCCCTATGCAGATATCCCTTCCCCTGAGGGTCCGCCCTCCTTCCCGTTACCCTATCCTTTTCTTCTTCATGGCACTTACTGCAATGCAAAATGTAATCGTGTGGTTGGCCACACCTGACCCCTCCCTATTAGAACATCAGCCTCATGAGAGCAGGACGTAGAATTACCTCATTCAGGGTTGTGCCCCCAGCACCTCCCTCAGATAGTGCCAGGCACGTGGCAGATGCTCGGTGAATGTTGACTCATTGAGGTGTGGGTCCGGACAGGGAGGAGGCTAGCTGCTTGTGACGGCTCACTGCACATCACTGCGGGGCAGCTTTGCAGCAGGACTTCCATCCTAGCCAGAGTCCAGAAGGTCCTGGGGAGTGCGTGGTGGGCGGGTGTTCATTCAGCCCTGCAAGAGACACTTGACTCCCCCAGAGCAACCAGACTGGACCTTGATGGTGCCGGACATGTGTGTGACCTCTTGGCTCCAGAGCCCTGCCCAAGGCCCCCATGGCCCCAGGCCCTTCAAGGACACCTTGTTAGAATAACCCAGAGACTGCAAAGCTCGAGCAAGGGATAGGGGCGCCTGGGTTCTCTTCCCGCTTTGGTCAGTGCCCAGCTGTCGGGCCTCCACCATAAGGGTGCCCTCTTTCCTCCTCTGCTAGTTCAGAGGGTGGGACCAGTGCCCCCAACCCTGAGACCGGGATGTCTGTGGCTCCCCCAGGACCACAGAGGCCTGAACCTTGAACCCTTTTTCCCTTTACAGTCACGAAATCCAAATGCCCTTCTTATGTGGGTGTTACAGGAATCCTTCTACAGGAAACAAAGCATGTGTTCAAAATCGTCACCCAAGAGGACCGCCTGAAGGGTATGTAATGGTGTCTGCGTGCTCACCTGCACTGTGGGCTCTGGCCTCCCTGCCGCAGCATCAGCCCTTTTCTGGAAACTCCAAGTGTTTGGTGTGACTTGTCAAGTCAGCACAAACAGCAGGTGCTTACTGGCCCCACGTTCCAAACCTGCAGAGACCATCTCCTGCCCCCCTGGCTTTGCCAGAGGCATTTGTAAGCGCAGCCAGCAGTCCCAACGGGAAACGGCCCAGGAAAGAAAGATCTGCTTGGGGTGCCTCAGGAGACCTGGGTCTTTGGGGCCCTGAAACTGGACGCTCCACCTGCCTGCAGCTGCTGCCTCTCACAGGAGTCTAGCGTAACAGGTGTCAGGAACTAAGTCAGCGCCTGTCCCTAGTGTTCTGAGAGCGGTGCCCCCAGTGGTAACAATTCAGGCATGGCACTGCTGGAGCCGACACTTGGGTCGGCTGGTGTTTCCGTCCCACCCTGCCCACGAATCCAGATCCAGACTACAGTGGCAGGCTTCGTTCCTTTCGCTCTTGAGTCGCTTTCTCTTGGAGTGTCCCTCGTTCTCCTGTGTGTTCTCCTGCTCACACTGTGGAACTCAGAAAGCGGTCAGAAGTGTCCCCACTGAGCATGAAACCAGGAGCCCATCTGAAGTTATATGGGAAAGCCTGTTTCTGGCCATCATTCTGGGAGCTTCTGGTTCTTGGAGTTTGGTTCATAGCTTCGACCCTGAAAACTGGGTGTGGAGTTCTATTGGAATGTGAATGAGTTGGTCTGATGGCAGAGTAACCATGTTTAACCCTGATGCTGCTGCCTTGGGGGTTCCCCATTCCCTGTCAGCTTATTTTTTAATACCACTGTGTTATGAGCAGTATTCTACCTAAAAGTGAACTCCCAGAGTTTCTTTCTCATCTTTTTGCTCCTGATTTTTTTTTCAGTTATCCCCAAGCTAAACTGTGTATTCACCGTGGAAATTGATGGCTTTGTTTCCTACATTTATGGAAGCAAATTCCAGCTTCGGTCAAGTGAGAGGTCCGCAAAGAAATTCAAAGCCAAGGGAACAATTGACCTGTGAATTCCTTGCTACCTAAGGCAATTAGTTGTTTATTACAACTGAAAATTGGAAAAAATGCCCCACTTTTCAGGGAAGAGATGATTCAGCCAGTTCCTGTCACAGGCCACCTTCAGCCAGTAAGTCAGAGTTAAGGACCTTGAACAGTATGGGAAGATGCAAGAACACTGCATGAAGAAGTCAAGAACAGAGGAATTCATGTTTTTAGGTAATCTTCATTTTGTATTTCTCCCATGGAGGGAGACAACTGGCAGAAGACACGCCAGGATCAGCACTGGTTGGCTTGAAGAGCAAGTTGACTCCGTTGTTTTCTGAATGTTCTGTGATGAATCTGCTGTATCTGTAATGATAAAATATGTATGTATGCACAAAGAGCCTCCGACCAAAGGCGCTGCTCATGTGGTTCCGCCAGGGAAGGGCTACCCCAAAGCTGTACCCAATGGCAGGTGTTTGTTGACGGAGGAAAAGTAAAGTCACAGTCCAGGCATAGCTTGAGGTCCGTGGCTTTGGCTTGAGGTTTGCTTTGCTATTTCGAGAAAGTTAACAAGGAGTCGGTGGTGCAGTTGTGAGGTGACTTAGCAGAGCTCATTCACTTAAGGAATCAGGACTAGGTGGACCACAGAGGCAAAATGCTGCGTCGAGTTGTGTTTGTTAACGGTTGGTCCAGGAGGGTTCGAGGGAGCCTGCAAGAGCCCTCATCCCCGAGTCCGCGAGGCTCTAGAGGCAGGTAGGCAGAAGTGAGACGGCAGCTCCTTCCAAGATCAGCCTCCCAGGAAAGCCCGAGTCTCAGGCAGTGGCACCGTTGCCGTCTCAGGTCCGGTTCTGCTGCTGCGTGATCTGTCTCTGCCGGCTGCTGCGAGGTCTGTGTGGTGACGTGTCTGTCAGGCCAGCAGACGATGCTTTTCTGTGCAGGCCCAGGGTGAAAGCAGCTGAGGGCCACAGAGAGCGGCGGGGGGGACCAGCTTCCGCTGTCTGGTGTCAGTTAAGCCGCGTGGCTCAGGAAGACCAATCGCTCCCTTCCTGGAGAAGCAAGTGTCTGCTGACCCACAGGGAGGGCAGGGACTCCTGGAGACAGACCAGCAGCAAACTCACACGCTGCTGCTCGCACCAGGAGAAGCTGCAGTGCCGGGGGCTGTGCTCTCCCGTGTCTCCCACTCCCAGTTCCAGTGGAAGAGAACCGTGTGGTGGGGAAGGGAAGTGCCAACGTTGACTTCTTTATGACAGGAGAGCAGCAAGGTGGGTCTGCTGCGGTTCAAAGCTCAGAGTACAGCCAGTCTCAGGGACCAGCTGGAGCTTGGCCCTGCTGCTGTCTCAGGGGCATTCCGGAGCCGCCCGAGTGCCCCCACTTAGCGTCATGGCCGCGGCCTGTGATGCAGAGCACACCCGGGCCAGGGGTCAGAGCGCCAACCCCCAGGCCACCTCAGACAGGGCAGCCCAGCCCGGCCACTGCACCCTTGGTTTGGCCATCTGCGTTTTGCCGCGAGGGGTCTCAGCCTCAAAGGGATCATTTGCCCAGGGCCTCGTCGACTGGGGCGGCGGGGGTGGGGGAGACCGGGATTTGGACCGGCTCGTCTGGCTCCACAGCTGTGCCTTTAACCACAAGGTGGCTGCCAGATCGAGGAAGGTACTGTCCTCGTGTACCTGATGTGACTGCTCTGTTACCTGGTGTCCCACTGTCTTCAGCGCAAAGGGGCTTCTGGTCTTCTGGCCATCTGAAAGTGCCACATTTGCAGCAGCAGAGGTGATGAAACTTCCCAAACCGTACCGCTCTTGCCCACCCCTCTGCAGTGTAAAAGGCACCCAATGTTGGGTAAATACGCGGTTGCTTTCCAGAAGAGTTGTTGGTGCCACTTGCCATGTGAAATCTGTTTTCCACTTGGCGCAGACTCAAGTTTCTGTGCGAGTGGCTGTTGAGTTGGTAGCGTTCTCTCCCCAAGGAGACTCGGTGAGATTGCTCGCTTGCCACGTGCTGCTGCTATGCATGCCTGTGTCCGGCCTGGCCGTTGTCCCCAGGGGCTGCTGGGTGCCGTGCCCCCAGGCCACGCGGTCCTCCCCGGCAGAGGAGGCACGAGGAGGGCCCGGCTGGGCAGGGCCCCACCCAAGGAAGCTGCGTTTGCGGCCGCCTCACGAAAGGCCTGCCTGGGGCCCGGGGCACGCACTGGGCTGACGTGTCCCACACACGTGGTCTGGGGCTTGTCGTGGAGGGCGGTGTGGCCCTTTGCAGCTCCATCACCCGTCGCCACTGGCCAAGAAGCCGGACCCTCGCAGGGCTGAGGCCTTAGACACACAGGCCCGTGGAAATGCGGTGAAACCTGCCTTGTATAAACCACGCACCAGATAAGCCAGGAAGTGCCAAAGGGGCCTGTTGAAGGGAAGTGGTTGGAACCTCGGGTGGGACCCAGGAGACCACGGGGCCAGGAGGTGTCAGTACAGGGACTCTGTTCTCCAGAGAGTACGCAGCCCAGGGCCCCTTAGGCACTCCAGAGCCAACTCTGGAGGGCAGGCCTGCAGCGTGGGGCCTGCCGAGGCTGAGCCAGAGCCTCTCGGGGGAGAAAAGGAAGGCAGCAGGGGCCACGGCCGTGAGGTCGGCCTGCTCAGACCAACCCAGCCATGCTGCAGACTGGGGCTTCAGCATCTGCTTTCTTGCCATGCGGGGGGCTGAAAGGCCGGGATCCAGGCACTGTTGAGGTTTGTTTCTGTTGAAGCCACTCTTCCTGGTCTGCGTGGCCACCTTGCTATGTTCTCGCGTGGCCTTTCCTCTCTGTGCAGAGGAGAGAGACAGAGAGAGATGGTGTCTTCCCCTCTTCCTATAAGGACGCCAGTCCTACTGCTGGATTAGGGCTGTACCCTTTTTCTTTTTGAGTTGAGTCTCACTCTATCACCCAGGCTAGAGCTCAGTGGCACGCTCACAGCCACTGCAGCCTCGACCTGCTGGACTCAGGCTATCCTTCCATCTCAGCCTTCCGAGCAGCTGAAACTACAGGTGCATGCCACCACACCCAGCAAATTTTTAGATTTATTGTAGAGACAAGGTCTCACCAAGTTGCCCAGGCTGGTCTCAAACCCCTGGGCTCAGGCAATCCTCTCACCTCTGCCTCCCAAAGTACTGGGATGACAGGCATGAGCCACGATGCCCAGCTAGGGCCTCACACTTATAACCTCTTTCTGCCTTAATTATTGCCCTGTCTCCGAATAGTCACACTGGGGGCTGGGGCTTCCACACATGAACTTGGTTCTAATCCATGGGGCAGGATGTGGAATTCTGCTGGTCCATTCCCCCAGTCCTGGAGCCTTTGAGACCTTCTTATCACCATCCGTCAAGTTTTCCTGGACTGGGATCCTGGAAGTTCCTGCATCAGAATCAGGAGAGAGTGCATGTCAAAAGTACCCAGTTACTGGGCTGTGCCTCAAAACTCCTGAGTCAGGCTGTGGGGTGAGACCCAGATAGCTGTGTGTTTGCCTAAGACCCCAGCTAGTTCTCTGATCACTGATGTTTGGGGATGGCGGACTCCAGATGGTGTCTAAAGTCTCTTCCAGCCCTGACATCTAGACTGCAGTTTAAGGTTTAGGACTCACAGGCCAGGGTTTCCTGGATGCTGAAGATCATCAGATGACGGGTCTCTCAGGTTCTGAAGAGTAAATACGAACATTCCTCCACAAAGTCATAAATCAGGGTAAAAAAGCTTTCTTTCTGGACAATGGCATTAGCTTTAATTTAGTTTGCATTTCTTAGCTATAATACCTAATTAAGACATCTGTTAAATGTCTATAATATTAATTTAATGGGGGGGTTCTCATAGAACTGTATTGGAATTGTCCATTTAATTAACCTCATGGGCCTTTAATGGATGTCTTAAATAGACATCATTAACGAGAGTGCTAGACAAATTAAAATTAGAGTCAATAACAGTCTTGGTAATCTTTCCTGAGCTGTGAAGGACAAGCATTGCTAAGCAGACAGGCACCGAGAAAGGAGGCTGGCTAGGAGGAGGACCAAGCTGCTGTCCTGAGAGGGTGTCTGGAATGAACGGGCTCCAAGGGGGCTCAACCATTCTGAGTCCCGGTCGGTTTTGCCCAAAAAAGATGCTGCGCCATAGGAGACAGCCCTCAGCAGCAAAGACGTGCCTTCCAGATACCGTTTACAGAAAGTGGCCTGACCCGAGTTCCTGGATGAGGAGGGGGTGGCGAGAGAGGAAGACAGAGGGGGCTACAGGACCTCGCCCAGGGACGCTCACTAGACAGCAGCCGGGGGCATGGGCTGGGAGGAGGAGCGGGCTGGGGAAGGACTGGCTGGGTTGGGCAGGAGGAGGAGACAGGACAGGATGAAGGGGAAAACGTGACCTTCTTGTCCTCCCCCACCCACGGACTTCAAGACCACCGCCTCTCCCCAAGCCAGGGTCTGTCTCCATCTCTCACCTGGCCTCCCACCAGCACTGGACACGCCATTCCCTCCTCTCCAGACACTTCTGTGTCCCCACATTCACGCCCTTCCTCCTGCCTCCAGCCAGCCCGTGTCCCTCCGTGGATCCTTCCCCTCCAAGCTGCGAGGTGTTGGAACTCGCCGGGCTGTGTCTGGGCTCCTCTACAGTCCCCCAGAGGAGGTGTCATCAGCAGCTTCAGGCCCACTCGAGACGCTCGAGGTCGTACTGACCGCCGGACCCAGCCACGCAAGTGTGTCTTGCCTGCCTCCTGCCGTCAGGACACAAGCTCCTGAAGACAAGGACTTTGCTCGGACGGCGGTTGTGTCCCCAGTCCACAGAAGCCTATCCGATCCGGAATGGCGGCTCAATTGCTGCTGAGAAATAACGATCCCTTGGCCGCGCCGGGAGAGGGCGCCGCCTTCCTGAGCAGGTGGGCTGCACGCAGCGCTGGCGCCTGCTCTCCACCCCGTGCTCTCCCCGCCACCACCTCAGCCAGCCCTGCGTCCCAGTCCCAGGTGGGCACTCGGGGCGTCATCCTCGCCCCCTTCCTGGAGCTCACGCCCCCTCCCACCTCTGTTAAATCCCAATGACTCAGCCGGGCTCGGTGGCTCAGCCTGTCATCCCGCGCCTTGGGAGGCCGAGGCGAGTGGATTGCCTGAGCCTGCGGGTTCG